CGGGGCAACGCCGAGACGCGCTAGCCCCTAGCCTGGGCGCGCCGCCTGCTTCGCGGGGCGCGGGGTCGGAGGGGAGTTTCAGTTGGGGCCTCTGGTCATGGCCTCGCTACGCAGTGCCAGCCCACGGCTGAGGAACTACTTCAAGGAGAACTACATTCCTCAGGTCTGCGAGGTACTGGAGCCACGTGGCGGCGGAGTTAGGAGGGAGAGGAGCCCGAAGATTTCCCAGAGGAGGGGCTAGCGTTTGGCCAGAGAGGGAGCGAAATGGGAGAGGATGAAGTCAGCCTTGAACAGACTGGCTATCTGGGCTGAAGATACAGATCGGAGAGGGGAAGACAGAGGGGGTGATGGTGGCTGAAAGGAGGGGAAGGGTGACAGGTCCCGGGGAGAAAGAGCGCGGGGCCCCGGGGACAGAAACCGCAAACTCCAAACTTTAAGGTCTGGGCAAGAGGGGCCTGAGGACAGAGGAGGAGAGCGGAAGAAGTGTTCTAGAGACAGAGGCGCAAAATCAGAAGCGTGTGGCTTCGTGAAGAGAGTGGGCAATAGTGTCACCTAAGAGGAGGGGTAGTGGATTTGGCACAGGTGAGCCTGTTTGATGGAGGCAGAAGATAGATTTCAGGTAAGCTGAGCAGAGAGTGGACGCTGAGACCTCTAGACGGAAGGTAGCCAGCCCTTTGTGAAGGGAAGGACCCCACCACCGGGACTGCCCTAACCCGAGGAGACTGTTCCCTAGCCCATCATTATAACAGGAGGAAGGAGGACAGGAGAGGGGTGGGTAGGTTTTGTTGTTTTGGGGGTAGGAAGCCAAGTAACTTCCATTTTCTCTACAAATATTTGGTGAGATATTTGCTAAGAATGTGTACGTTTGGGTGGGGTTGGAGGCTGCAGAAGGGGTTTTGAGCAGAAGTAAGATATGTGGAGATTGAGGGGGAGATAAGTCTAGGGAAGGAAAGAGAAGGAGAGCCAGGCAGTGTTGAGAGCCCAGCTTGGGATAGTAACTCTCCTGTGCAGTTGGGAGGGCAATTTGATACAGCCTTTTTGAATGGTAATTTAGAAGTATTTATTAAAATGTTAAATACATATACCCTTTGACCAAACATTTCACTTCTAGGGATCCACTTTAGACATAGACTTTCACTGTATCCAGAAAGCTGTACAAGGATATTCATTATTGTGAAAATAGTAAATAACTTACATATGAATAAGGGAATGGGATAGTATATAAAGTATAAGTACTTTTTGAGAAGAAAAGCTCGCCAAGACATATTTTAAAAGAAGAAAAAAAAATGCAAGTTGCCCCAGAAGTGTTTACTACAATGCAGCTACTCTGATTTCATGTATGTATGTATTTGTGTGTATATGTGTATGTATGTACGTATATCTAGCTACATTTAAGACAATACAGCATAGAACATTTGCAAAACTTTTTACAGCAAATGTTTGGGGGGATGGCTTTATTTTTTTTTTAATTTTTTGCTGTATATACATCTGTATTGTTTTAATTTTTTTCTGATGAGTTTCATTCATGTTTTACTTCCATACAATTTTATTTGAAAATATGTAGAGATGGGCGCCTGGGTGGCTCAGTTGGTTAGGCGACTGCCTTCGGCTCGGGTTGTGATCCTGGAGTCCCAGGATCGAGTCCCACATCGGGCTCCCTGCTCGGCGGGGAGTCTGCTTCTCCCTCTGACCCTCCTCCCTCTCATGCTGTCCCTCGTTCTCTCTCTCTCAAATAAATAAAAAGTGAAGACAATGTCTTTAAAAAAAAAAAAGAAAAGAAAATATGTAGAGAGCATGGTACTCATCTTCCCCATTGTGTGATTTTCCTAAGTAGCAGTCAATAAACCAGATGTAGGTATAGAAATAAGAGTTGACTTCATCCCAGATAGGCATTTGCCGGACATGTAGTATGGAGGAGCAGCGGCAAAGGACTAAGCTTTTTAGAGTGTCTGAGGGATGGGCCGAGGGACTGGGTGGGAAGTGAGAACGGTTCTGATACTGATATGTGGGCAGAAAGTGGAGGTTTCTAAGGAGTAAAGAGGGGTAGAGGGAATAATTGAGTGAGGGAGCTGGAAGAGGATCCCTGGTCCCTCCTTTGGGTGCTCGCACCCCTTGCTCACCAGCCTACCATATTGCTTTGCTCCCAGAGAAGAGAGGCCCTCAGAAGTGCCCTTTGCCTAAGGTGATATTCTCATGAGGAGTCCTTCACTCCCTTCTGCTACCACATTAGCAGTAGGAGCAAGAGAGCGATTTTCTGGGGCCCACACTCCCACCTTAACCTGGTTACCTACTTCCACTAGGAGACTATCAGGATGAATCCCATTGTGCCTCATATGTCTGCACAGCTATTCATCTGACCCAATTTGACAGGATTAGCAATCTTCTAAAACCCATCTTCTGCAAGCTTTGGAAGACAGTTTTTTGTTTTTTTTTTTTTATCACGGATTCCCTGCATATTTAACCTCTTCTGAATTTCACCTACCTATCTTAAATAAAACCTGAGTATCATTTCCCTGCAAACCCTTGCACAGAGGTTGATTTAAAAAACAAAACAAAACACCTTGCTTGATTTATTGACTTAAATACTAATTCTATTGATTGATATTTTTCATCAGTTTTAGAACATTTTTGATCATTTTCAAATAATGCTTCTACCCAATTCTCTCCTTTCCTTCTGGGACCCCAATCAGAAATATGTTAGGGGTTTTTTTTTTTTTTCTTCTGTTTTTTTCCTTATTTTTCCCTTTGTGCTCAAGTTTGGGTATTTTTCACTGATTGTCTTCAAGTTTATTGATTCTGTTTTATGCTGTGTCCAGTCTACTGTTAAATATATCAAATGAATTCTTAATTTCCAACAGTATATTTTTCAGTTTTAGAATATCAGTTGATTCTTTTTTATACATTTTGATTAAAATTTTGCATGTTTTCATCCATTTTGTCTATCATTTCCTGTTTTCTTTAATATGGTGTTATTTTAAAATCATTGTTAACATGAACAACTTTGAAGACTCCCAGAATGGGATAATTGTTGAAACTGGGTGATGGGTACATAGGGGTTCATGATACTCGTTTACGTTCTCTATGTTTGAGGTTTTCCATAATAAAATGTTAAAGGATAGTAATGGCTGGGTGCTTTTTTCTCATAATGTACATAGCTAGGGATGGATGGAATGACAGATTTGATTTGGCTGTATAGTTATTTTCTGTTTGCTCGCTGTATCATTTATCCATTTTTATCTAATATAACTGCAAAACTTAGTGGTTTCAAACAACAGAATCATTTGTTTGTTCAAAAATCTGAATTCTAAAAGGTTTTTCAGGGAGAACTTGTCTCCGCTCCATGTGGTACCATCTGGGGTGGATGAACAGGGGTTAAAGATCCACTTTTAAGATGGTTTGTTCACATACCTGGCAAGTTGGTGCTGGGTGTTGGTTGGGGGGGCTCAGCTATATCTTTGAGCCAGGAGGCTTGGTTTCTCCAAATGGGCCTCTTCATGAGCAACTTGGACTTCCACACAGTATGGTGGCTCAGTTCTAAGAGCAAGCGTCTCCAGAGAGAAGTAGGTAGAAGTTACATCATCATGTATGACCTCAGCTCAGAAGTCAACATAACATTATTTTCACCGAGATTTAAGAGGAGGGAACATAGACCCTACTTTATGCTGGAAGGCATATCACAGTCACATTGTGAAAATAGCCTGTGGGATGGGAGATATTGTCATGGCCACACAATTAGCCACACGTGGCTTGCTCTCATGGAAGGGGTATCTGGGATCAAGTTGCATTGCCAAGCATTATGTGGACAAATAAGATGTGGATCATAGCGGTATCACCCAGTAAGTGGGTTTCAACCCTTCTATAATTATCCCTTCTTTTCCTCTTCCTTTTCTGTGTTCCCCAGGAGTAGATGTACACTGGACATTAAAAAGATGCCCACACAATATGTGCTTCCCTCTTCCTTCTTTCTAATATTTCTTATGTTCTTATTCCATAACCTCCCTCTTCCCCACATAGACCATCTGCTTCAGGGAAACTGACTATCTCTGTCTCTAGTGGTAGACCCTTATTGGCTTACAACTACCAGTGCATTCAGTTTCTCTGGCCACAGTGTTTGCGACCATCCCGGGTGGTGGTAATCATGAGAGAAGGCAAGATGTGATCCAAGCCAATTGACATCAGGTTGCTGGTTGGAATGCGGGGACAGAGATATACCATCTGTGGATGTTCATGGGGCAGTGTGTAGCCCTGGAAGCCACTGGTGATTATCCTGTGTCCACAAGGAGAAATGGTTTTGGGGGCTTCTAGAGGTTTGTACACCCATCTTAAAGACCACTGGATTGTATGTTCAAGTTAGGTAACTTTTATTTTTTTGAACAACAAATTAGGGTCTTGACACCAGCCAGCCTTTTTTTTCTTGGGGAAAGCAAGAGTAGTAAGCTAAGGAGGGGACATTAGACCACTCCATCAGCAAATATTTGCTGGGAATCTACCATGTGCTACTGGAAAATGCCTCAATGGCTTTAACCACTTGCAGCTGTGAATCTGAAGCTGTCTCTAGCCCAGACTTTTCTCATGCATTCTCTGTGCATTGACCTATTTGGGTGTCCTGCGAAACACTAAAGAAACAAAAATAAATAGGTGAAGTTAATTTTTTAAAAATTTTATTTATTCATTTAAGACAGAGATATATATAGAAAGAGAGCATGAGCAGTGGGAGAAGCAGAGGGAGAGGGAGAAGCGGACTCCCCACTGAGCCAGGAGCCCGATGTGGGGCTCGATCCCAGGACCCTGGGATCATGACCTGAGCCGAAGGCAGACGCTTAACTGTCTGAGCCACCCAGGCGTCCCTAGGTGAAGTTAATTTTAATAATATATTTTATAAAACCAATCTGTCCAGAATATAATCATTTCAACATGGACTCAATATAAATAAAATCATATTAAGTCTTCAAAATTGGGTGTGTATTTTACACTTGAACAGCCCATCTCAATTTGGACTAGCCATGTCTGAAGTGCTCAATAGCCACATGTAATTAGTAGCTACTCTATTGGACAGTGCAGGTCTAGAATATATTAACATATTTAATAAGCCAAGGAAAATTACCCTTGACCCAGAAATGATCATTATGTCTCCAAGATTGTTCTTTTCAAGGGCTCAAAGCTTCTAGGACT